AATGTAAATTGGAACAGTTGTTGTGAAAAACTGCATGGTGTTTTCTCAAAAAATTAAAAATAGAACTACTGTATGCTCCAGCTGTCCTACTGTTGGTTATATACCCATAGAAGGTGAAATCAGCATCTTGTAGAAATACCTGCATTTCCCTTTTCATTGTAGTATTATTCACAATAGCCAAGATTTGAAAACAACCCTAACTGTTCATAGATGGATGAATGGATAAATAAATTATGGTATATGTACATAATATAATACTATTCAGTCTTAATAAAGGACATACTGACATTTGCAACAACATTGTTGAGCCTGGAAGGTATTACACTAAGTGAAATAAGCCATAAACAGAAAGACAGATACTGTATTATCTGACTTATATGTGGGATCTTAAGTCAAATACATACAAACAAAGAGTGGAATGGTGGTTACTTGGGAGGAGAGGGCATGGAAATAAAGAGATGCGAATCAAAGAGTACAAACTTGAAGTTACATAGGATGAATTAGTCTAGAGATCTATGGTACAGCATGAGGACTCTAGTTTATAATACTGTTATGTATACTGGAAATTTCTGGAGAGAGTAGACTTTAGGTGTGCTTACCATACATACACAAAAGAAAGTAATAAAATGTCTTGGAACTAGATAGAAGTAATATTTGCACAATGTTGTGAATTTACTAAATGCCCCTGAGTTATATACTTTAAATAATCAATTTTATTCTATGTGAATTTTACCTCAATGAAAAGAAATGCAAGGAAACATGGGAGAAAACAGACTTCCTATTATACAAAACCCAAACATAAATCCTACCACATTCAACACATTTTTTTTAGGTGGCCCATCCTAAGTATTCATTTTCTATGTTGCTATATAATAGCATTTTAGATTATTTTTGTTTGTGTTTCCCAGCAGATTGTGAACTCTTTGTTTTTGTTTGTTTGTTTTATTTTGTTTTGTTTTGAAATAGAGTTTTGCTCTTGTTGCCCAGGCTTAAGTGCAATGGCACGAGCTCGGTACACTGCAACCTCTGCCTTCCAGGTTCAAGCAATTCTCCTGCCTCAGCCTCCTGAGTAGCAGGGATAACAGATACATGCCATCATGCCTGGCTAAATTTTTTTTTGTATTTTTAGTAGAAACAGTGTTTCACCATGTTGGCCAGTCTGGTCTCGAACTCCTGGCCTCAGGTGATCAGACTGTTTTGGCCTCCGAAAGTGCTGGGATTACAGGCATGAGCCACCATGCCCTGCCTGTGAACTCTTGAAGAGAAGTCTTGCATTACTCCATTGCCAAGAGTACTTCTCCCTCCTAGTCACTTCACTCAGCCCTGTCTGAACTGTGCTCTCCAGGCTGGCACTGTTGGTGGTGATTGCTCTGGACCTCACTTTTAGTTGACTTGATCTGACTCATGTCCTATGCTTTTACACATGCCCCATCCTTAAAACTCATTTCTGTGTGCCTTGTGTGTCTCAGATCCTGCATCTGGATATTTGGACTTGATCTTTGTTTTTATTTTCCTAATGGATTTTATCATAAACTTGACTGTATTTAATGGGTGTAACTGGTACTTATAATATTTGTGTTTTCAACAAGTCATTTTGAGTATTTAAGGAAGAAAATAACAGTAGTACAATGGATAATGTGAAAATGTTTAAGGGATTTCATTTTTATTTTTAACTGTGTAATTGCTAGTACGCATAGAAAAATGATGAGAAAATGAAGCAAAATGTAATCTGTTACATTTCTCAGTGATGGATAGCAACATGCACAAAGTTACATGCTTTTGAAATGTGATATTATCTTTTATTTTTAAAAATATTCAATGTGGGCCTTGCTACATATTATTTCCTAATATGTAGAAAAAATAAGAAGGAAAGCTATTGATTTTCCTCCAGTATGAAGGAAAATCAATAGTGCAAGAAGGGTCAATTGAACAAGCAAAGAAACAGTTCCCTTGAAAGAAATGTCGTGACAGAATACAAGAATTGTTGTACTATTTAAAAACCAAACCAGATTTTGAAAATTATTCTACACTTGTGTGTTACAGTATATAATGTATGAATTCAATGGAGCAAGTGGTGATATCATAATAAGAATATAGTATTATTTTCTAAAGGAAGATCAATATGAAGATCTATTTTAGAAAAGTGTCATTTGCAGCATGAGAACCCCAGTCTAAATGCCTATGAGTTGGCAAGGCAAAGAATAATGCATATATAATAATGACAACAGTCAATTTTACGCCTTTTTAAAAATGAGAATGCACCTACCATATAGATACAGTGGGTTCTTTTATTGCCAATTGCACTTCTCCAAAGTTAGACGGTGAGATAATGGCAGATCAACAACTATCTCTTCAGGTTTTTGTCAACTAATTCAAAAATTTTTTATGATATGACTTTAAACCATTTTTATATTTCAGGGTATAAACACTATAAGAAATAAATCTTTAGTTGAGTAACATGTAATTAATAAGCTGAAAGATATAAATATGTACAAGATGCATGTTACTAAATAAAATATATTTTATGTTTATGAGTACAGATATCCCAATATATTAGTTATAAAAGTAGCCCTATTTCTAACAGGAAGCATTTTTTCGAGAAAAACTGTGCTTTGGCACGTGTGTGTGTGTACACCAGAAAACTCTTAAAAGCTACTTCAGATTCCCTTAATTTCATCTTTTTGGTCACTTCTCCCAGCTTCAGCCAATACTGCAGTGGTCAAGTTTCTGGAGTTTGAAACAAATTTATGCAAGCACGAGTGACCAGCTCTTCATCTTAAACCTGCATCCCATATCACTCCTCTTTTTTCTTTTGCCCGGAAATTTCCTATTGAGGTGATGCACCCACAAATGCTATGGAATTAATTGTCCATGAGGCAAATCTCTGACAACCTGGAGACTAGAGCCAATAGATGTATTATTCTCCCCTTTATCCTCAGAGACACCATCCCAAGATGATGTCACTGATGCCTCATACCAAGTGGTGGCCAACTTTACATTACATCCTCTCATGGTTTGCCCTAACCAACTGTAATGCCTAATCTGACCCATTCTGTCACCTTGCTCCTCCTTGCTTTTCCTGATCTCCACTTCCTCATAAACCACTGCTCCTTTGCCAGGCATTTCATCAGATTGCATTGCTTATTTGCATACTGATGACATCAACCTGGTCACTCTTGCTCATTTACACAGCGTTTTAGTATTTGACTAACAGTGTTTCTCTGCACTATTTCTGTAAGTCTTACGCTTCAGCATTCACACAGAAGATTAATTCCATACCCTGGCTTTCAGTGCTATGCTGCTTCCCTCTCAGCTATTTGTGCATTTGTCTGCAGGTGCCCATTCCCTAAACTGTATGATTGCCTATGACGGTACAGTCTCCAGAGTCTCCGTTTTATAACTCTATGTCCCATTTTTTCAGCCCACTTACCATAGTTATGCTATTCCAGACTAAGCTGAAGACTCCCAGTCCTCAACCCTTTACCTTCAAGTGCCCATAGCATGTTATGCCTTAATTCCATCCTTAAACAACTTAGATTCCATGATACATCAGTATAATCACTATTTACATACCTCCCCAACGTTTTTGCCTTTCTCTCCTTCTTACAACACGTCTGAAAAATCTTAACCATAATTCAACTAAATTTCTATCTGCTTCCCCAAGTAGCAAAATACGACTCAGAGAAAACATACAACTATGCTGATGAGTTCGCCTTCAACTTGTGACCCCCCAAACCTCAGCTCAGTCATGACTCTTGCTTGTGAGTCATCATTTGTCTAAATTTGCTATTTATATCTTTTTTCTCTCCAAACTTTCAGCAAATGTCCTTTATTACTGTATTTAATAAGCTTGGCTTTGCTTTACTACTATAGAAGCATTAAGAACAAAATTATTTATCTATTAAGAAAATCTACCAAACTAGCTGCATTTATTCCCATAACCCTTCTTACTATGAAGAAATGTATATGCTCCCATCTTAGCCAAAAATCCTTCACTTTTACATTGGATTCTATTTTTTTCCCACCTGCTTAAGGACTCTGCTCCTGAAATTATATCTTACTTATTCAAGTATCAACAGTTTGTCTCTCTCTGCTCTATTTGTCTATTTCCATTAGAATACAAATATGGTTACATATTTTTCTTTCTTTTTTTTCTTTTTTTTAGATGGGGTCTCACTCTGTCACCCAGGCTGGACTGCAGTGGTGCGATCTCGACTCACTGCAACCTCTGCCTCCCAGATTGAACCGATTCTCCTGCCTCAGCCTCCTGAGGAACTGGGATTACAGGTGGTACACACCACCATGCCCAGCTAATTTTTGTATTTTTAGTAGAGACGAGGTTTTACCATGGTGGTCAGGCTGGTCTCCAACTCCTGACCTCATGATCTGCCCGCCTCAGCCTCCCAAAGTGCTGGGAGTACAGGCGTGAGTTACCATGCCCAACCTACATCTTAAAATTAAAAATAAAATTCCTCCTTTAACTCCACTTATTTTGGTAGCTTCAGCCTGAAATGTCTGTTCCCTGCAATCTCAATCTCTTCTACGTAGTTGTAATTATGGCATGTTTTCAAATCTTCACATTTTAGTCACCTTTGAAACTATTACAAATAGGTTTTAACTCAGCATTCCACTGAAACAGTTCTTAGCAAACGGGCCAAGGGAAATTTAATATGTTTCCCAGTGAGTTTACTTCCGACTTGAAATGTCCCTTCTTCATGCCTCATTCATGGGATGTCATTCAGATTCCTTTTAAATGGTTAAACAATATATATTAGAGCTCTAAATGTAAAAACATAAGGATTGGTATATTTTTGAGGGAAAAAACAATAAAATGTCCTTAGTTGAGTATTAAATATCCTTTTTGTGGTACTTAAGTATTATTCACTTTGTAAATGACAATTATTTATTACTGTGAAGATTCTCAATGTTTTTATAATATAAAATTATGATTGTTCTTTTTTAACAAAACAAAGAAAAATTTGAGTTTCTTCTTATTCAAGGTTACACTTTCTGACATTGATTCCTCTGAAGATGACAAATGCCTTCATAAGGTAACAGAGTTTTATAATATGCTTAGAAAATAGAATCAGATTGATATGGTTTGTGTCTGTGTCCTCACCCAAATATCTCCTTGAATTATAATAATCCCCACATGTCAAGGGCAGGACCAGGTGAAGGTAATTGAATCAAGGGGGTATTTTCCCCCCATTCTGTTCTCATGATAATGACTAAGTCTCCTGAGATCTGATGGTCTGATAAGCATCTGGCATATCCCCTGCTGGCACTCTCGTGCCCCCTGTGAAGAGGTACCTTCTGCCAGGATTGTAAGTTTCCTGAGGTTTCGCCAGCCTTGTGGAACTGTGAGTCGATTAAACTTTTTTTCTTTATAACTTATCCAGTCTCAGGCAGTTACTTACAGCAGTGAGTGTGAGAATGGACTAATACACATGTTGTGTTAAAAATAGTCCAAAGAAATATTGCTTAGGTCAAAACCTGATGCTATCATTTACTAGCTATGACTCATTTGACAGTTTCTTAAACCCTCTGAGTAAGTTCCCACATAGACCATAATGCTATGATGAGCATAAATGTATATGTGAAAAGTGCTTAATATCATGTTTATCAGACAATATAAGCAAATAATATACGTTAATTGGTTAACAAAAATCACACTTTTGTGATTTTAAAGTTCACTAATCATTGTGGAAAACATTATTTTTTTTTCTTTTTCCCCATCAAACTTTTATCTGTTAATTTATATTTCTACAAATTCATGGTTTTCTATATTATACCATGGAAGGTAACACAGTACTATTTTTTATTTTATTTCGTTTATTTATTTATTTTACTTTAACTTCCAAGATACATGTGCCAAAAGTGTAAAAAAGGTTCCTATTTCTCCACAGCCTCAATAACATATATTGCTTCTTGATTTTTTAATAATCACCCTTCTGACTGATGTGAGATGGTATCTCACTATGGTTTTGATTTGTATGTCTCTAATGATCAGTGATAATGAGCTTTTTTTCGTATGTTTATTGGTCACATAAATGGCCAATGCTTTTTTGAGAAGCATCTGTTCATATCCTTTTACCACTTTTTGAGGGGGTTGTTTTGTTTTGTTTGTAAATTTGTTTAAGTTCCTTGTAGATTGTGGATATTATCCCTTTGTCAGATGGGTAGATTGCAAACATTTTCTGCTGTTCTGTAGGTTGCCTGTTTACTTTGATGCTGGTTTCTTTTGCTGTGCAGAAGCTCTTTAGTTTAATTAGATCCCATTTGTCAATTTTGGCTTTTATTGCAATTATTTTTGGCATTTTTGTCTTGAAGTCTTTGCCCATGCCTATTTCCTGAATGGTATTGCCTACGTTTTCTTCTAGGGTTTTTATGGTTTGGGTTTTACATTTAAGTCTTTAATCCATCTTGAATTAATTTTGTATAAGGTGTGAGGAAGGGGTCCAGTTTCAGCCCAAAGTAATTTATAGATTCAATGCTATTTCCATCAAACTGCCATTGATATTCTTCACAGAATTAGAAAAAAATATTTTAAATTTCATATGGAACCAAAAAAGAGCTCATATAGCCAAGACAATCCTAAGCCAAAAGAACAAAGGTGGAGGCACCCTGCTACCTGACTTCAAAGTCTGCTACAAGGCTACAGCAACCAAAACAGCAAGGTACTGGTGCCAAAATAGACATATAGACCAATGGAACAGAATAGAGACCTCAGAAATAACACCACACATCTACAACAATCTGGTCTTCAACAAAGCTGACAAAAACGAGCAATGGGGAAAGGATTCCCTATTTAAGAAATGGTGCTAGAAAAGCTGACTAGCCATATGCAGAAAGCTGAAAATGGAAAATGTTACGCTTATATTTTTGTTTTAGTTTTACCATATCTTTGTTAAATAGATTATAATCTTGGGTCTATTTTATAGCTTATAGAATTAAAAAAATAAGAAATATCAAACCTACAAAGCCATACATATATAAACTCTGGGTACTATTGTTTTAGAGTTTTCATGAGCATACACCAATTGTCACATTTCATTTGCTCTGAGATGAGGTCCATGGTCAGAAACAATGCTAAGTATAATGACATGATATTTGAAAGGGCATTTTATAAGTTCATGGATGGTAATTTTGCAAAATCTCTGTAATCAGGTAAAGCAAATCAATACCTGTAGTGAGTAAGTATTCCACTAAGAACAAAGCTCTGCCCTTTCATGACGGAAGTGGCCTGGTGAGAACAACCAGGCACCTGGCTGATCACCCAGGAAATGTTTCAATGTTAGCAGAGGCTGTATCCAAATCAGCCCAGGTGAGTGGAGGTCAGTGTTTTTCAGCACATACGTATTCTGCATCACTGCCACCTTAGCCACTTTGTCATCAGCTGATACTTGGATATGATAGTAATGGCTGGGGAAAGAGACTACCTGCCATCAACAGAACAGGGCATTCTATTTTCATCATTAAAGTATTGGTCTACTGAAACCACTTGCTGACAATCATTCACAAAGGACACCAATATCTTTATATTCTATGACCATTCAGTGAGGTCTACCCACATACTCCTTCCCTAGACCTCCTTGTCACCAATGTTCCAATCACGTTTCTTCAAATAGTGAACCATACAGCCAAGCTATTGGCTTCAGCTCATGAATCATTATAGTCCCCCATCTTTGGCTCTCTCTCCTCCCAGGCAAAATGAACAACCAGGTGCATTCATCCACGTTCTGTCCACTGGGAAGATTTTCCTTTGCAATTGTCATCAGGAAGACCCTGTAGGTGTGGGGCTGCAGCATTGCAGCTGCCCATCTCAGATGGTACCTGCATATCATGCAGATCCATTCATAAACTAAGCAAGAGTTTTTTCACCCTTAGATCGTCATAGGGTACTCTAGTGAGGCCTTAGGTGCAAGCTGAGAGAGAAAAAGCAGTGTAGCAGGAGTAGGAGCCATACACATTTGGGACACCTATTCATGTAACTTATCTGTGCCTTCAAGGTGTACCTGAGTCCAATCTGGTAAATACCACTTCCATTTGATAATGGAGTACTGTGGTGCACACCTAACTGTGACTTTTGGGGGCAAAAAATACACAGTTCACAGTGAACTATCTATTAAGTCCCTGTAGTAGACCAAAATCTGTGTCTCAAAAGCAGAGTAGACATTCACCAAGGATAGTCAGGCCTTGAGCCCAAATCCTAAAGGCCTACACTGTGACTCACCTGTAGCGTCCCTCTCTGCCACTGACACTTCAAGTTTCCTGAGGTCTACTCGATCATGAAACCCAAGAGGCAGAGCAGATTGCATAGCAGCCTGGATCTGTTCAGAGCCATTTTGTGTTCTGGGTGTCACCCAGCATTAGCAACTTTTGAGTCACTTGGTAAATGGGCCAGAGAAGCATACCCTAACAAGGTACACACTTCCTCCATAATCCATGGAGGCCTCACAGGAATAGCACAAAGGTGGAAAAACAGCAACTTAACCCTTACCTAGGAAAGGATATTTTGACAATCTCCAGGCCACTGGGCCTTGGAAATTTTGAAAGACACATAATTAAGCCATCAGAGATATTATGAATTTAAGGATGAAATTCATGGAATGGAAATACAGTACATTTTATTTTTATTCTATGCAATTGTTTATGTTTTTTGAGTAGTCTTAGATATCATAAAGCAGTGGTTCTCAAAAGTGAGCATACAATGGAATCACCTGGATATCTTGTTAAAACTCAGGTTGCTAGGCCCTAACACCAGAGTTTCTGATTCAGTAGATGTGGGATGGGAAGGAGCCTATGGTTTGCAATTCTAAGTTCCCAGGTGATGCTCATGCAGGGACCACATTGTGCAAACCACTAGGTGGAGAAAGAAGTGGATGATTTATGGTAGAAAGCAAGTTATAAGTTGACTGTAATATCATTTATCACTGATAACTCTCTGTTTTGTTTCTGAATTTGTTCTGTGAGTAAAGGGTTATGACTCTGTGTAAAAGGGAAGTTAACAACATTCAAACTCCGGGTACCAAGTCTGCTGTAAGACCACACAGACCTCTGCATCAAGCCTCCTTGTATCTAGGTGCTGCATGGCATTTACATAGCAGAAGAGAATATTTAATACATTTCAGAAGAGATAAACAATTTAGGATAAATATTTAATATTTTAGGCATGAAATAGTGTTTTCAAAAAATTATAAAAATGGAGATGATTTTCACTTGATTTCAGTAGCACATCTAATAATTTAACTTTTTTTGAATCCTAATTCTAAATTCCAATCTAAGTTAAATTCTGATTAAGTTAATTCTTCTCTAGAACACATTTGAGTGAAGATTATTTTGTGAACAATGGGAAGACAATTGCTTGTGTTATAGACATTCCGTATTTTCTGTTTGAATGTTAATTACTCATGAGAGTCATTTGGTAGCTTTCATTCATTTGTTAATCCATTAAACAAGTATGTACTGAATACCTGCTATATACTAGATTCTGTACTAAGCACTGGAATTCAAAGATGAATACGGTATAATTCAGCCTTTAAGGAGCTCACAGTTTAATGTTTCGTAACTGAGTCTTCTAAGAGGAAGGCCAGCATTCTGCTTGATTCTTCCTAGAACAATATTATATTTCACAGACTATGATGTTTCGTGCAAAATGCAGCTGTTAACCATATTTTTACAGTCATTACCTCCCTGGCTTGAGGAGAACAGTCAGAACAAAAGGTGATAACATTTATATTCCATGTTTTCTGCTTTTAAGATTATAATTCAGATTTATTTTCACTCAATGTGTCCAATTAAAGTCTATTGTTGATAACATTGATAACATCAGTAAGGTTATGACTTTGCAATCAGTTTGAAATGAATAGTTCCAGTGGATTTAAATGATTTCTCTTTGAGAAAAAAAGTAATGAATAGGTCATAACTAATTAGCATGCCATAAATCACACTGGTGTTCTTTTCTACTTGAAAACCTGAGAAAGGTATAGTAACAGAAAACACTCTTTCTTTTTAAGTGTTTGTCACTGCCTTTTAGAGGTAAATTGTTTCA